AGAAAAAGGATTGTAAAAGAAGCAACACAAAAGGATTGTTAAAATTGTAAAACAAGTTGTAAAACAAGCTGGAAAAATTCCAAGTTGTAAAACAAGGAGAAAAAATAAAAATTATAAAAACAATGTTGGGGAACAAAAAATTGTAAAACAAGCTGAGAAAATACTAAACTGTAAAACAAGGATTGTAAAAACAAGTTGTGAAAAAAATTGAATTGTAAAACAAATTTTGGTAAAAATCAACAGTTAAAAACATTCAACAAATAGTTTTTAAAAACTTATTGATTTAGTTTATTTTTAAATAAATAAAATAGCGTGCCAAGTACTTTATTTTATATAAAAACAATTTTATTGTTATATATTTACTACAAATAACAAAACAAAACAAAATTCATTTGGCCACAAAGGAAGGGAGGATTTTGCGGGATTTCTTCTCCCTTCTCTATTAGCACTCATTGCAATTAGTGAGATTTGGCACAAGCAAGGAGGGAAAGGGGGAGAGAATAATATATATAAATTTGAAGGATGATGAAAAGGAGGGGAGGAAGAGGAAATGTGTATGAAGTGGAAAATGATGGGAAAGGAAGGGAAGGATTTCATGTCAAAAGACCAACAAATAAAAATCTTAAAAGGTCGAGATTTTTTAAAAAATTGTTAAAAAGGTCAAAATTCTCAAAAAATTTAGAAAAAAAAATTTAAAAATTCTGAAAATAAAAATAAAAAATCACAGCTTTTGGATGGTCGATCTTTTGAGAAAAAAATTTCCAAGAAAAAAAGATTTATAAATTTTTTGATGTGCGGTAGCGCAATAATTAAAAGGGAAAAGCGTTTCTTCTAATGAGACAAAAGTATGAGATAAATATTTTTTTCGAGCATGTAATTTAAATAAAAATATGTTTGTATGGTCTAATTAAAAATAAATACTTACATTATTGCAAATTAAAGAAAAAATTGGAGGAAATATGTAAAAAAACGCGCATCTTTTAATATCTAAAAATAATTTTTAAAAATGGAAATAGGGATGGATCAAATAGTCTGATAAGAAAGTTGATTAATCTATTTAATAACCCAAAAAAATGTTTTTGGCTAACCAAATTGAAAAAGAATTTTGAAAAAAATAGAGAAAATCTCGTTTTATCAAAGTTTTTTGCTTATAACTTTTTCTTTTGCCTAAAATTTTTCTATGATTAAAATATCATTTTATAGCAAATTTTCTTGGCTATTCAACGATATCAAAAGTTTTAAAATCTGTTCAGCTATTATCGAGTTATAAAGGTTTAAATGACGTGAGATCGATTTTTTGATTTTTCCCTTATAAACTTTTTTGGTGTAGTCGGTAAAATTTGAGTTTTCACCCAAAAAGGAAGAAGGTTCGAATCCCACTTGTGGAAAACAATTTTAATATTTCAAAAAACAATTTTAATTATTAAAAAAATTAATTTCCTCTTCAAAAAAATTTATTTCCTATTATTTTTTCAACCTTTTTAAAATAAAGTTTATCTAAAAATAACGACCAAAGGTTATTTTTAAACAGGGGAAAATATTCAAAGAAACATTTCTCATCATTTAAATGCAGAAAAAAAAGAACGAAAGCGGGAGAGAGAGATGCTTTTGCTTTTTAAGCAACAAGAAAATGCTTTAACATACTTTAGTTTATTTTTATTTTTATTTATATGCCATCAGCGAAAAATAAATAAATTGGATTGATTAACACAAATTTTATGCTTTGCGCTCTTAACTAGAAAAATTTTATTTCCTCTTCCTTTTTAAATTAATTTTTAAACAAGAGTGTGTTGAGTAAAAACTTGTTCAACCTCGTCCTTTTCCCCCTCTATTTTGACCGCAAAAGTGGACCCGCTATAAATTTTATTTTATTATTATGTTGCTTTGCTTTATTACCTCCTAGTTTTAAATATTAGCTTATTTAAATATTTATTTTGAAGTATTTGTGGGAGAAAAATAATTATTATTATAAAAGTATAGACTGTCACTATAAAATACACTCAATATTAGACACCCTTTCTAAGATATATTTTGTTAAATTTCTTTGATAGCTGGGTAGATGGAATTGACAAAGTAGTTAATAATGAGCCCGGATTTGAAGGGTCGTACGGACTGGGAGGGTCGTACGAAAATCTGGATCAATATCCTGAAAAAATCTCGATCTAGATAACCGATATGATTTGATCGAGATCACGTCTCGATCCGGACCCTAGCTTATAATGAGGTCCGATGTACGAAAAATGAGGAATTTAAATAAATCAGAAGAATGGAGAGGGAAGGAGGAGAGGGACTGATTAACTAAAAGGGCTTAAAAAAAATTTCCTACAATTAATCTTAAAAGCTTCTAAAAAAATTTAATTTTTTACAATATATGTATATTTTTAAATAAAATATTCTCCCACCAAAAAATTTAAAAAATATAAGAAATTTCAGATTTAAAAGAAGAAATAAAATATTTAGTTATTAAAAATGTAAAAAAAGTGCCTGTCTAATGGTCATTTTAAACTTTGAAAAAATGAAAACTGAGTAGCTGGGAATATTTTTTTGCTCAATTTTTAGGATCCCACAGGTCTCTTTCTAACATTTTTTAAACGGGCAAGAGGTTTTGGGGCATTTTTTGTGTGCCAAGTTATTTTTAAAGAAAAATATGCAGGGGGATAAAAGGTCAAAAAGAATTGTGAAGGTTTTGGTGGAAGGGAGAGGACGGGGGAGGTGGACATTAAAGTATATTTAACTGAATAGAGAGAGATATATGATTCGAGAGGACTGGAGTTATCTAAAAAAGGTATCTAGGGTTCAGGGGTTTGCCAGTTTCGCATTTCACGGAATTTCGCCTTTTTTGGACTTTCTCCTTTCGCAGTACGCGTTTCGCTTTTTTCAATTTATTTTTGCCTTTCGAGTTTCGCTTTTTAAATTTAATTTCGCTTTTTAAAATCTGTTTGGCACACCCGCTAGGGTTATCTCATGTGAGCAGGATATCTAGGGATATCTTGAGAAAAGGATATCTGAGAGGTTATAAGGGTTTTTTGGTATGCGGTCTATCTGAGAGCTTGAGGACATGATAAAGAGATGGGCAGAGATGAGAGATGTGGGATAGAATAGAAATTGTAATAAATGAGAGATAAGGGGTAGGATAAAGACTGAGTTCTAAAATACTCTAATTGTTAAGACTTGAAGAAAAAAAGCAAATAAAAGCTCCAAGTCCATATAAAAGCGGAAAAAAAGAATTTGGTAGGGAAATGAGGGCAAGGGGAAAAAAGAGGAAATAAAGAAGAGGGTGGTCTAGCAAGTAGAGGAATCTTCAAAGCGGAAATGTTTGTTTTGTGTGTTAAAAGAGGAAAGGGGAGTTAAAAAGTCAGGCCAAAAATAAATGGCCAATGTTGAATGTCATCGCTTTTTCAAGTATTTTAGACATTAAAAAGCCCCTCCCCCCTTAAATCTCGCTCGAATTGAAGAGAAAATAATTTTTTGCAGAAAAAATTTAAGAGTTTAAAAAATTAATATTTAAATTTGGAATTTGTAGAAAAAATTTTTTGAGCCCAAAACGATTTAAGCAAGAAGAGAGGGACTAATTTAAAGATTATTTGAATTTGAATGCCTAAAAATTTTGCAAAAAGTAAACAATAAAAATTGAAAATTAGACAAGAAAAAAATCAAGCCACGTCAAGTAAGAAACAAAGATGTTGCCTCCACAATTATGCTTCTGCATTTTTCTCCCGTACACTTCAGCTTCCGCTTTTTAAATTGCGGGAGGGATACATAAATACAAAATTGCGGGAGGGCTCATCCCGGATATATTATTTATTTAAATTTTGAATAAAAAATTGGCAAAAAATATTTTTTTAGTTAAAGAAATAACAAAAAAATATTTTCTTTTCACTTAACAAACCAATCTAACATACATATAAAAAACATTGCTTTTTAGATTGCTGTTTGACCGTGAAAATGAACAGAAAATCTCTTGGGGATTTTAAACAAAAAATAAAAAAATTGTGGTTGCCCCAAAGCTTAATATTTTTATGAAAAAATACTTGGAAAAAAATTATTTTTTTGTTAAAATTAAATGGAAAAATATTTGAAAAATAAAATAAATGGCCAAGATAGAGAAGAAAAAATGAAAAAAAATTTTAGAAGAAAAAGTAAAAATTAATAAGAATAAAAATAGGAGATGTGGGCACCAGGGTTGCCGCCCGAGACCCGGTCTTTTTTGTACCCGGACCCGAAATGAAAATTTTATAACCCGAAACCCGTGACCCGAAATGAAAACGCTCCAACCCGATACCCGAAGACCCTGGTGGGCACCCAAGGGGTATGTCAAAACCATTGTTTATAAATTTCAGTACTTCGTACCGCCCTATTTTTTGACCTCGTATTCGTACTTCCTACCATCCCCTTATTTTTTTTCTCGAACTCGTATTTTGTAACTAAGTACGAGTACAAATTTTGGCACGAGCTTAAAAACACTGGTCAAAACTGATTCGGCAACAAGTGAAAGACGAAGGCGAAAAAACGAAAAGTCGAAAATATGAAGAGTAATTTAACCAACGTGGCATTTACTTCAATTAATTAGTTAAAGAATCGAAAAACTTTTTTATTTATTGAAAAATTAAAATAATTATTTTAAAATTTATTTCAATTGTTCAAACATTTTAAATAATTTTATTAAACGTTTTATAAAAAAAATTTTTTTGGTTCGAGTACTCTCTCCATTTTCTCTCTTTCTAAATTTAAATTTTTTTTCCTTTGAAGTTTTGCTAGAATTTTCTATCAAGAAAAACTTTTCTTATCTTTGTTTGTACAGCCCACAATTTCATCATTTTTTGCCAAATTTATCTAATAATCTCTGCCAACGGCCAAAAACCATGGCCGTTTGGCCCCTTTATAAACCCCTCCCAAACCACCTAAACATTGTCTTCTTTAATCACTTCTTCCAACTTTACTATTGTCATCTTAAAAATTTAAATTGAATAAATCTATCTAAATAAAAAGTTTCTCTAAAAATGGCATCCTTAAAATTATTAATAACTTTACTTTCTGCTATTATTTTATTGAAAACTTTTACTTTTGCTCACTGTCCTAAAGAAACACATCATAAAAATGGTAAAAAATCAACAACAAATCAAATTAATAATCCACCAGCAGTTGGAACAATTCACCCACCAGTACAACCACCAAGTCAAGGATATACAAGTCCCCCAAGCAGCGATCTACCAAAACAGCCAAGTCCTCCAGGCAAATATCCTTCAGGCCCACCAAGCTTAGCTCCAGCAGGTCCCTCTCCACCAAGCTCAGCTCCAACAGGTCCTCCACCAGGCTTATCTCCTTCAGTTCCAGCTCCTCCATCAGGTCAATATCCACCAGGCTCAAAAGTTACAAGCAATTCACTTACTGTTCCTCCACTTTATACAACAAAGGAGACTTGTTTACCATTAACACCTGATATGCCTGGAGTCATTGATCAATGGTTAAATAAACCAAAAACTGGAAGATTTGTTTGGCACGCACTAACAAATGCTCATAGTTATGGAGGAGAATGTGGTCTCGGAATTCAATATGTTAGTTTATGTAAAGCATATAGCTATTTAATTAGTAAGTAGGCGGCGTGTTGTAATGGCTAACACATCACTCCGGTCTACTGAAGATGCTGGTTCGCTCCCAGCCGCCGAATGACCTTTTGCACTAGCTAAAGGAGAGAAATAGCTATAGCCCAGCTGCTAGTTTATTTTTTTAATAAATAAATTTATAGCCTTATCATGCTTGTGTTGGTAGTGATTTATGGTCACCCGTAAAAAACTGGGTACGTTCATGTTTGACTGATATCAAAGACCATTATATTCGTAATGATCAAGTCTGTGTTAATAAATGTGTCAAGATTGAATATAAAAATAAAACGTTAGTTTTTCTATTTTTAATTAAGAATAATTTTAATATTATATATATCTCTAAAAAAGAACTAGTCGGCGTTGGGCCTTCCAAGAGTGGAAACCCACCCTTGGGGCGCGCCAATCCACCAATTAAAATGAAGGCCTTCTTTTTAACTTTTTTATTCAACAAATATATTTAATAATTAAAAAGGAGAGAGGACAGGCAAACTTTTGATCGGGCCCAGAACTAATTAATAAGCGAATGAATTAATTTGGCCGATTCTCTCGCCTTTTATAAGGCGCTAAAAATAGGCGTTTCATAAACTTAACTATGACATTTAATAAATTTTTAGTCTTATAATGCCAATTATGGATGAAACTGATTATTTGAAACCTTATGAACTTGATATTTCTGAACCAGCATTTAAATATTTAGAAATGAATCCTAATGCTGGATGGTGTACTGCAACTGTTACATACATTCGTTGTGAAAAACTTGGCAATTAAAATTAAACGAAAGTGCTGGGATAAAAGAAAATAATTAAATGGGAAAATTAAAAAATTTTTAAATAATAAGACTATTAATATAAAAAAAGATTCTTCTGTATTTCTGGGAAAATATTTGAAAATAAAATTAATGGGAGAAGTGAGAGAAAAGATGAAAAAAAATTTTTAGAAATAAAAATTAATAAAAATAGAAAAATATAGGTGGGCACTCCGGGGTGGGTCAAAACTGATTCGGCAAAAAGTGAAAGACGAATGGCGAAAAAAATAAAGTCGAAAATATAAAGGGTAATTTAAAAAATGAATGGCGAAAGTTGAGACCCTAAAAAGGCGAAAATTGGAGGAAAAAGAAAGGCGAAAATTTTTTAGGATTAAAAATATGAGGAGAAATATCCCTTCGCTGGATATACTCTGAAAAATAATTTGAAATATTTTATGAAAGATTAGTAAACAGAAAATTAGAAATGGAACGGACAGAAATGTCGAAAATCAAGTCGGAAACTTTTAAAAAATTTAGCAATATCTCCTTAAAAGCCGATAACATGTTCACACAAGAGATCGAGATTTTTGAAAAGCCTGGGCTTGTTCCGTGTCTGATTTATTGACCTGGGCCGGATCCTGGGCCTGTAGTCCAGGAAAAACACAGGAAGGTCAAAAAATGCCTAGGCCTGAACTCTGGGTACAGGAAAAACCCATGCCTTGGTCCAGGCCCAGCTAGATCTCTTGTTCACTCCAGAAAAATATATTTATATAATATTTTTATCTACCCAGAAAAACTAAAATAATTTGTAAAAAATCAAAAAAAATATTTTTAAAAGTAATCTTAATAATTTAATTCGATTCATTTTTTACTTGAACATCCTTGGGCACTGGTGTCATAGGTTGCTCATTGGCTAGTAGAATTGAGGGAGATGATGCCTCAAAAATTTCTTAAAATAAAAGAGTTTAAGAAGAGTTTCAATTTTTTATAATTTAAAAAACCTGTGTCAAGCTCCTCCATTTTAACCTTCCCATCGCCTTCGGATGAACCTCCAAGGGTGTTCAAACTTGGATCTATTGCGAAAAGCATCTCTAAAAATAATTTTTTTTAGGTAAGGGTTCGGCTTATGAACACAACCAAAAACATGTTTTTCTAGTCTAAAAACATGTGAGGAGATAAAATATCACTATAAAAATGCTGATTGTGAAAACGGTCTACTTTTGCATCTTTCCCGGATTTTCAGACCCATGAAAATCCGGGAACCATAGGAGGGACCAAGCGTGATATTTTTCTCCTTTATAGTGATATTTTATCTCCTCACATGTTTTTAGACAAGAAAAACATGTTTTTGGTTGTGTTCATAAGCCGAACCCTAGCCTTTTTTATTAAATATAAGTTTATTGATTAATTTTAAAAATTGTTAATTTTTTTATATTTTTCTCTCTATTTTTGATTTGTGCCTTAAGGCCGGCCGTGCTTTGACTGTCCATGTCGACACGGACAGAAAAACAGACAGAAAACACGTACAGACACGGGCGACTGGAATGCCAAGGTAAACGCCAAAATTTTGGCCCACCCCCAATGTTAGCCCCCCCTCCTCCCCCGAAATCGACCCTTCTGGATACGCCCTTTCTCCCAGACCAATTCAAGCTATAAACCCACTTAAAAAATCCAAAACCTGTCAAAGTAGGAAATTTTTGCCAACCATCATCAGCATTTTTATCAGACTCCTTATCAGCCTCTTTCCCTTCTCCTTCTTCTTTTTCTTGCCTCAAATACGTTTCAAAAACAAATTCCATATATTTCTTCTTTTCTTCAAAATCTTTACTCAATTTAATTTTGTCTTCTTCTTGTTCCAAAAAGAAATCATTTCCATCAAAAGAGTAGCTAGGCCGAGGGTGGTCACGTTGAATTTCTTCGAGATGTTGCCAAAACCCTTTGCGATCCTTCAATTTTTCGTCCAATTCTTGCTCCCATTTGGTCAGGTTGTTTTTGTTGTCCTTGTATTTTTTGAGTGGTTTACGTTGTGAATTTGCCATAGAGACGAGATTTTAAAGGTTATTTAACTGAAAAATTAAGAAAAAATATAAAAAATCGCGAAGTTGAAGAGGTAAAAACGAGTAAAGAAACCTTCTGAAACAAATTAATTTAAACAACATAGTTTTTATTAGAGGTCGTCAAGGGGAAGGATCCCATACGGGATTTTACGGGATCCTGTCACGAAATCCCGTGTTTTACGCAATGAACGGGATTATCGGGATTATGAGAGTTAAGGGTTTAATCCCGCGAGATCCTATCCCGCAAAAATTTCTGAAAGAATCCCGTTACACGATCCCGGAAATTCGATTTTACCGACCTCTAATTTTTATCAAAACCAAAAAAAGATAATTGAACGAAAATGAGAGAAAAAGAGAAAAAAAAGAGAGTACAAATTTTAAACAAAAGTTGTGCGCAATTTTAAAATATAAAATACAAAATCTCAACAGACAAAATGCCCATCTTAATGTTTATTTTAAAAATGTCTGCTTAAAAAGAGAGACAGTACGTATTTTGAAGAGAAAGTTAGGCAACTACAGAAAGTTTATTGTTTTCTTCTTTTGTTGTGTTTGTTGTTTTGGTTGTAATTTTTAAATTTTTGTTTTGTTGAGTTTATTAATGTTTTTAGTGTTTCAATTCAATTAAAATTACATTCTTTATTTATACTCTTTGATTATGACTAACAACAATGGATGTATTATATCCGGGGAAATTGATAAAGGAGAAATATTTAAGGAGTTTTCTACAAAATTTGTATCAACGGTAGCAACTAGTGAATCTGATCGTTCTGAGGTGTTTTATTCATTTTTGAGTACTTATTGTTCAGCATTGTGTATAGCCTTTCCATGGAATTCCATTTCCAAAAATTGTCACTTTGGTGCAGTGGGACACTGTTTAGTTTCCCTTGAAGAAACGACTAGGGTTCGATACCCAGTCGAGGGAAATAATTTCTAATACACTGTAATAATATTTTTTCTAGTTTTCTAGCTTCTTTAACGTTTTATAAATTATCTAAAATTTTTTTGAGTAATTTCTCTTTCAGAATGCAGGCGGTACTCGTGATGGTTGGTTACTTATTGAGGCTATCAGACAATTCGAGTATGTTTCCTTTACTTTATTTTAATATAAAATTTCTTTGCAGTAAGGATTGGTCCCGAACTTTCTTTTATTATATGAATGCTTTGGAACTCGAAGATCCCAAAGATTTGATTAGGAAGTTGGATGGAAAGGTACACATGTTTCGTGATGGTGAAAAGAAGTTGAGGGTTGCTGTGATAAAGACTGAGGGTAATTGTGATGTTATGAATCTGATTGACAGTGCTATTTCGAGACGGTATGAAAACTTTTTTTAATTCATGTTTATTTTTTTTAGCAAAAATAAGCGTAATTCTCGTCATCGTGTTGCTTTTTCTGACTATTCCTACCGACGACTTGCTTCGACTTATCAACATCATATTCGACCGCCGTTGTTTAATTACAGTTTTTATCGCCCTATTTATTATAATGATTTGGACCAGCCGTCTCGACTTGAAAGAATTAATGATGTTCATGTTGAAGGTATTACTTCGACTAATGTTGGACTTGGGCAACAACAGCAAGGACATTCACAGGAGGAACTTTGCCAGGATGGACTTTCTCAAGAAAATCTGGGTGAGGGCAGAATTTTTGAGGGTTTCCTGATTTTTGAGGGTTCTCCTATTTCATTTTTCCCAATTTAGACACAGTCTCAACAATTTCATCCGCATCAGAAGATCACAAAGCGCCTCCTTTTCTTGATGAGTCGCGACTGCTTAATTGTTCTGCAACCAAGAAGCTTCGTTTTTTGCCACAGTATTTTGAGAAGATTTATGCTGCAAATAAGGAGTGGTTGTCTAACAAGAAGAATAAGAAGAACAGCATTAAAAAGTTTCTTTTATTTTCTTGTCAAAAAAATTTTATATTTTGAAAATTTCAGTTCCAACTCAAGCCTGTCTTCTTCTGGATCTTCGGCTGAATGTATTATTTCTCGTCTTTGTTCTGAATTTGCGGGATTGAAAATTTTTGATTGAAATTTTGAATATACTTGGAAAATTTTTTGGTTTTTTACAAACATATAATAGTGATCGAGCAGAGTTTGTACCAAGGCCAGAGGTTTTCCTTTACCCAGAGACCAGGCCTAGGTATTTTTATAACTTCCTGGGTTTTTCCTGGGCTTGGTTTTTTGGACTACAGGCCCAAGATCCGGCCCAGGTCAATAAATCAAACTCAGGAGCGCCCAGGCTTTTTAAAAATCTCGATCACTATCATATAATATGGTTTGAGATTTCTATTAATAAATCCTATTATTATTAAAAATTGTTTTTCTGGCAATAAATTTGTTTTCGTGCATTTTTTTGTAAATTTTAAAATTGTGTGATTTAACACAAGTTATTATTTATTTTTTTTTAAATTTTTTTCTTTAATTTTATCACATTTTTTTTCATTCTCACATGAGAACGTCTTTAATTTTTCCCCTATTTTCCTTCCATTCTCCCTTCATTCTCCTCACCTTCCTTTAATTAATTATTATTAGTGTTCGGCAAATGACCTTTTCCGGTATTCGGTATCGGTATACCGAAAAAATACCGATACCGAAAAATACCGTTTTTTACAAAAATTGACCGGTACGGTATCGGTATACCGGAAAAATACCGATACCGGAAAATACCGTCTCAATATTTTCGGTATACCGGCCGGTATTCGGTATTTTTTAAAAATTTTATAAAATTTTTTTAAATTTTATTTTTAAAATCTTAACATTAAAATTCGAAAAATGAACATAATTTTAATATTTGTAATTTAAAAATGGTAAAGTTTTATTTGAAAAAAAAACGTTTTTTCCGCTGTATCAGGATTCAAACTAGAGTACGTTCGAGTCCGTGTATTTGAGAAAAACCCGAGTCGGTGCTGGGTATTGGGCATTTGTTGACAGTGATACAGGGGATTATCATCCAAATCCCATTTATTTTCTTAATCCGCCTATATCCCTCTTAATCCGACAAAACTCCATGATACGCCTATGATGAATGTGGCTCCGGGCTCCGGGTGGAAAATGAATGGATAATATTATTTCGGGGATTTGTGTAGTTATGCGGATACGAGTGAGAGGCTATGGATCACGAGATCCGTAGTTCTATCCCTCTCTTTTCGCTCCGCTGGCTTCAATTTTGAGAATTTCTGAAGGCCAAGAGGAACACCCAAGTTCCGGAAGGCCAGATCCTTCCCTTGAAATATCCGACTATCACTAAAATCCACCCAAGTCCATTCACATCCTGCAATATACACATAAGTCTTCCTTTTTCAGCGCCGCAGGCGAAAATTTTGAGAAATTTGGAAGATCCTTAAGCCAAAAATCTTCCTTATTGTGACGCAGATAGGGGTATCACAAATACCGAAATACCGGAAAATACCGCGGTATTTTTTCGAGGACCGGTACGGTTTCGGTATCGGTATACCGAAAAAATACCGATACCGAAAAATACCGTTTTTTTCAAAATTTGACCGGTACGGTATCGGTATCGGTATACCGGAAAAAAATACCGCGGTATACCTGGAAAAATACCGCGGTATACCTGGAAAAATACCGCGGTATACCGTGCCGTGCCGAACACTAATTATTATACCCTTTTATCAAAACTCATGTTTAATTTTGAAACATTCCTCTCCAAAAAACCGTCCGTTTTTATTTGAAAAGCTTTTTGTTTCTTCCCTTCTCTAAATAATTAGCAAATTCCAATAAATTGATTACTTTAAATAAAAACGGTTGTCTACAAAGCAAAAATAAAAATTAAACCAAAGAAAAATTTATATTTAACGTGGAAAAATGTCTGGAAATTGATGTTGTCGTTTAATGATTGCTCTCTTTTATTCATTTATTTTTGCACCCAAACAAATGTTTTTAATTGTTGTGTTTTTATTTAAGTTTCCGGAATGTTTGTAACAAAATATTACTTAAGTTTATTGTAAAATATTTAAGTTTTCCGGAAAACTTGTTTTCATATTTGTGTTTTATTTTAAAGTGGAAAAATTGTGTTTTTGTGTTTTCATTTGCTTTTAATTTTTTGTTTTTAATTTTCTAAAAAGCATGTTTGTGTTTTATTTTAAAATTTTGTATTTTTGTGTGTGTTATTCATGTGTATTTCAAGTGTGTGTTTTATTTTTAAGTTTGTACTTTTGTAAATGTGTTTTAATTTTTTATTTTCTCTTTAAATTTTCAGTAATTTAATAATTTTGTTTTCATGTTTTAATTTTCTGGAAAAGTTTTGTTTCTGTGTTTGTGTTTTATTTTCAAATTTGTACTTTTGTAAAAAAGTGTGTTTTTATTTTCCGGAGACCTTTCTATTTTTTATTTTTCTCCAGAAATTATATTTACCTTTCCGGGTTATATTTTTTAAGTTTATTTTTCTCCGGAAAACTTGTTTTTCTCAAGTTTTTTTAATCTTTCCTTTAAATTTTCAGTAATTCAATAATGAAAGATTCTAATTTGAACGGACATGAACAACAACCAAATAATTCTAACAATAAGCAAGTTCATCCCCCTTTAGATGATTCTTTCCAACCAAAGAAGCTAACAGCAATTAATTCTGACCATCAATTATTTAGAAATCTGTCTGCAACTGTAAGAAAAAAATTTTTTATTTAAAATTAATTGCATTTTTTCGTTAAGAAATTGGTAGAATTACAACAGCCTGAAACTAGCAGAAATCAGTTGAGGAGAATTAGTGAGGGGGACAATCAACATTTGGAAAGAGGCAGTCCTCTTACACTTTTACAAGAGTCTAAAGTGCTTGTGCTTTATACTGGAGGTTTTTTTTGGATTTTTTTTAAATTAAAAAATTCAAAATTTTTAGGAACAATTGGGATGAAATGTTGTTGTGAAGGAGGTTATTTTGTCTAAAAAATTATTTTAAAATTGAATTTAAATTTTAGTTTATGCCCCAGAACAGCATTATCTACCCAAAATTATTACAAATTTGCCACCTTTAAATGACAAGGAATTTGTGGAGTATGCCTATGCTGATGCTCAATTGAGGCCTTATGCTTTACCATTAGTTAGAGGAATGAAGAAAAGAGTCGTTTATTGGGTATTTTTTTAATTTAAAATTTTTAAAAATTAAATTTTAAAAGTTGGTGGAATATGAACCTTTACTTGATTCATCTGACATGACTTTTGATGATTGGACTAGAATAGCTAAGGTTTTTTTGAGTAAAAATGATTTTTCTTAATTTTTTTAAGGACATCCGCAAGTCTTATTCTGCTTATGATGGCTTTGTTGTGCTCCATGGAACTGATACTTTAGCATATACAGCTTGTGCTCTTTCTTTTATGATGGAGAATTTGGGAAAACCTGTTGTTATTACTGGAGCACAAGTGAGAGAGAATACAGTTGGACTTCCTTTATAAGATACTCGTGTCTGAAAATTTTTTTTATCTTATATGGGAGAAGGGCTTAACCTGTACTTCTCTTAATAATTTCTTTTTTTCCTCATTTTGAGGGAGAGGGGAGTTCCACCCTCCCTGGGATATGTCCTTGATAGGCGGTATCTTAAATTGTGAGTATCACCTAGAAAACAACTCGTTGTGTCAGGCTAACTCGCGGAACGGACAAGTCTCGGAACGACCCCTCTTTTTAGTGGTCAACTTTACTTTACAAAACATTCTAAATTGGGGACTATCAAGTATTGGATGTATCTTATAAGTGAGGTTTAATTGTATTAATGCTTTTGGATTTGTTCTATATGTAAATAGATTCCAGTTGGTGAAGTTCGCTCTGATGGCCGTGAAAACATGATTGGCGCATTAATTGTAGCCGGTAATTTTGACATCCCTGAAGTTTGTGTTCTCTTCAATAATCGTTTGTTCCGTGGCAATCGATGCACAAAAATTGATAATCGAGGACTTGAAGCATTTGACAGTCCAAATATGGCACCTTTAGCTACTATGGATATTTCTATTAATGGTTAGCTTTAAAAAATTTTTTTGTCTTAAATCCCCCCAAAAATTTTAAGTTAATTATGAATCAATTTATCGAAGTAATGAATTGCGCCCTTTTACGGTACAAGAAACGCTTTGCCGCAATGTTGTTGTCCTTCGCATATTTCCTTCTTTGTCTATTGAATCGGTAACAATTTTTAATATATATATATAAAAAAAGTTACTTTGCCTATAAAAGTATTGGTAGTTTAACTACGGGACTTTTAAAAACCTAGAACTTTTTACAGAGTTGGGATATGAATTTGGGACTTTGACATCTTGCTGGGTACTTTTTATGGGGCATCTGGGAAAAATGTTGTTTTTTCAATAATTGCCCCCCTTGGTACCTATATCGCATAGATACCGGGGATATCTCCGGAACGGATAAAGATAGCGGAAAAGTTCCGCTTGGAGGGCACTGGAGCATGATTTGGAGATGCCGAAACAAAAAAACCCGAAGTCGAAATCCCAAGTCTAAAGGTCGATATGCCTGACACAAAATTGGTTTTTCGGTGAAAAGTCCGTTTTTTCGAAAATGACGAAATCCTGGGGGCATATCTTATAGGTGAGAGAGAAATTTTGATTGATGGGTGAAATTGTAAGTGAAGCAAGTTGAAACTCGAAGCTGAAGCAAGTTTCGAGTTTAAGCAGGGGAAGGTGAAGCAAGTTTCGAGGGGTCGAACTTCGGGATCCGGGTTTTTCGGGATTTGTAAGTATGGGTGAGTAGGTAGTCGTTCGAGAGCTGGGATTGAGGGGAGTTCAATGGGATAAGGGATAACGTCGAAATTCGGAGTTCGAACTTCGAAATCCGGGATTTTTGGGGTTGGGAAGTATGAGCGCATGAGTACTCATTCGAGAGGGGATAATGAGGGGAGCTTAGTGGGATAAAGGATCAAGCCGAAAGTCGAAGTTCGGAGTTCGAACTCCGAAATCCGGGATTTTCGGGATTGGGAAGTACGGTCGATTAAGTAATCATTCAAGAGGAAATAATGAGTGGAGCTTAGTGGGATATAGGATAATGTCGAAGGTCGAAGTTCGGAGTTCGAACTTCGAAAT